AACATTCATCATTTTCGACAATGGTCCGGATCACTAGACTTTATGAAACCCACGCACGTTTATAAGTTTTCTGTAAAATATGAATTTCATGTGAAATATCAACAACCCTCAAACTTGCAGCTTGAGCCTGATCGACTTGTATGTATGAACTTTCATCCTGGCTCCTGACATTTTGGAGACAAACAAGTTATAGATTTGCTCCTTAAAAATATTATGAACTCTATCCATCTATATAGCAACCCTCTGATGAAACATCTGCAGAAATTTTGATGAGAGTTTTTAGAAATTGTAGTTCCAAAATTCAATTTCAAGATATTTCTGATGATCTCAGCGTTTAGTGGAATAATTTTTTTCAACAATGTTACAAACATCACACGCAAACTTGAATGTAATTCAATTGCAGGATAATTGAACTGAATAAAAAGTTAGAGCATCGTGGTTACAATCAAATCGCTCATAATGACATTCATTTCTCCTTTCTTAAGAATGTTGCATTTCTATTACTGTCACGTCTGTGTCATAGACGAAACGAACAGAAGGAATATTTTTTGCTCTCGAGGGCCATATAACTACAGAGAAAATTGAACCAACCCGTTTACCGACACGGACAGCCTGATAAAAGCCAGGCACAATCAAATTTTCAATTTAATCCTGCGCTTACGTAAGTCGCCGGCATACGCCCTCCGCCTCCGATCGGGAAATCCGGAAAAGCGGAAAAATCTATCGGGCCGCTCGACGATTTTCTCGATTTTCCCAGAGGCGCTCACTGGCCGCAAGAGGAGGAGGTGTAAGAAAACTGCCGCTAAGGCCACGCCCAACCGCCAATGGTTTTCCAGCTCTTCCAGAAAGGTTCGGTCAATTCCTAACCTCGGCCAATCCCGAGCGAGCGCTCAAAATGCGGCTTTTTGTTATAAATAATGTATGTTGTTAAGGGGATTGAGAGGATGGAAAAACTTTCCAAGAAATATTGCTTTTCTTGTAGCACCACTCTACCCGAGTGGACCATCAAAATGCTTTTTATGTTTTATTCTGCTCCCTCGACCGTAAAGGTCTTTTATATGGCGTGCTATTTTTATTTAATTGTGCTCTCGGATGAGCATTAGGGATAACATTAAACGTTGAGACATTTCGAAGGGGTTATCTCACGTTATTTATTCCATACCTTTTTACTTCCCACGACAACTGGCGAGGAAGTATTGTAATGTTGAAAATTTATAAAATGACATGGTAGGTTTTTTATTTTTTGGGTGTTATATGACATGTACATCTGTCGGTCCATCTGCCTGTCTACTGCTTAGTCCTTGTCCCTGTTAAAACTTGGAAATGTCAAGAACGTAGTTTTTGAAAATTGCGGCGAAGCTACAGGCAAAAAACGAAAAAAAACGTTCAACCTTTGTTTTTGGGGGCTGTAATGTGTAAAAGGGTATACTTCATTTTTCTTGGTGGTAGTCTATGTAATCCTACACAAAAGTAACCTTACGAAATGCGCCCTCCCCTATCCTTTGCTCCTACGCAACTAATAAAGATTCTCATTTATTCACATCATAGGTCATAACGACTGAGCAAAACAAGAGCACAAAAAATCCCGTATTAATAATAGCTATACAAGTTGCTTTTCTTGAAAGCTAGGTGTCCGCAATTTACAGTTCAGGAGTTAAAGTCAGTTTTTTCGTTAACATTTCATTTGATATTCAAATAACCTTGATACTCATAGTCAAGTTCATTAACATACAACAAGTTTCTTGCTGCGTGTTGGGGGCTGTAGTGTGTAAAAGGGTATACTTCATTTTTCTTGATGGTAGTCTATGTAATCCTACACAAAAGTAACCTTACGAAATACGCCCTCCCCTATCCTATGCTCCTACGCAGCTAATAAAGATTCTCATTTATTCACATCATAGGTCATAACGACTGAGCAAAACAAGAGCACAAAAAATCCCGTATTACGGAAGTTTTGAGAACTGGATTTTTTATGCCGGCGTGCTCTTGCGATTTAAACAGGAGTTTAAATATTTTTCTACAAGACTCTGATGCGTAAATGGCTAATTCCTTGCTTTAAAATATTATTTTTCAGTGGTTAATGCATGTTCAGTGAAATAATATTTCATTTAGATTTTTTCATAATCACTTTCGTGGAAGCCCCAAAATAAAAACTATGTGCATAGAGAAAAATCAACTTTTTTGCTCTTCACGATTGGGTACCACAACTGTATTATTACAATTTAGACCAGGTGCTGGATGGTATTGAGTGTGCAATTGTGAGGAGCCCACTTTATGAACAGATTCCAACTGAGAAAAGGGCAAAGAATAATATTCCGGATTTTGCTCTGCCGCGTTTTGGTGGATATTCTTTTAATCCCACCCGCTCCTAAACCATTACAAAACAAGTTTGTTCTGGCAATTTTATTCTGATCTCTCGGATCATTCTGGACAGGAAAGCTCCTTTCTAACTTTTCTCTAAAGTTAGACGTTTCCGCCATTTAATGTCTGAAAGGCACTGAAAGTGCTCATCTTCAATGATTGAAAACTCGATTCAAAGACCTTACTTTGGAGGTTACCAAATACTTAAATTAAAGCCTTCCATAACACGACCCCAAAGAGTATTTCAAAATTATTTTTAAGTAATCTTCAAGTTAGTAAGCTAGGCCTCAATTGGTGACCTTATGAATTTCGCACATTGAACATATTGTGCGGGCGCTGTACAGAAATGAAAAAATGTCAAGGAACAACACCATGCAATGGAGCGATTTGAATGGTTATCTTAATCAATTTACGGGGTGTTAGGTAAATAATATTCGTAACTTTAAGGGGTGATTCCTTGCATTATTCTGAGCAAAAAAGTTCATTATAACTTATGTCCGAAAATCAATCGTTTTCGAGGAAAGTGCGTCGTAAATAATTAAATTTTCTCAAACATTTGGCAACGCTGCAACGCAATCGCGATACGAGCGCACGGTAACAGCAACTGATCATCGAATTGTTTACGTTTGTATGATATTTTTGTTGAAAATATGCCTTGAATTATTGAATACGTTTACGCAATTTTTTATGGCTAATATTTTTTATTTAATAACGCTATCAGTACAGTACATTTACTTAAAAAAATGACTTACCGGTACGTGGCGATACACACCACCAATTCCCACGATTATCAGTCACTTATTTGAAACGATGCGATGCACGAAAAGTTACAGTTAAGTGTATTACTAATCACAATAGATGATCTTCGGTTTCCACTCAAACTCCACGATGTCTTCCGCGATTGTTAAAATTAATCACTACGCTCCCTGTGTCCAGAAGTCTTTGGGATACTTCTACGAATGTTCTTCTAGCTGGTAGCCTTCGATCAGGAAAACGTTCTTCGTAAATGCGCCTAGCCTCTTCAGAATTGCAATGAGCCTCTTCGTAAATAATAAGCATATCGTGTGACTCGCGTACCGAAAACATCTCTTTCGAATCAAAATGTACGCACTGATACAGTTCATAATACATACTGAATAATAAAATGTGATTTCAGTTCGGGTAAACATTATTTGCATTAACGTATGCAAGAAACTATCAAATAATTTTTTTCCCGATGTAGGTATTTATTTTTTTACCCATCGGCACGATGTCGAACGTAAGCAACACGCGATGATACATGCAGTTCAGGCAGAGTACGACGTTGCCAGTTGTGAGGGGGATTTTGTTTGCTTTTCTGCGGAAAACTGTATTTACTCGTAATAAGCAAGAAAATTATTTTGTTAGAGACAGTTAATCAATAAATAGATATATTGATACATTTTACGCTACTAGGCATATGAATTTAAACTATTAAGGTGCAAAATTAATTTATTTCATGACTAAAAAGAAATAAGTTCAGCATATTTTGGCTCCGAAACGGTTGATTTTCGGACAGGTTGTAATGAACTATTTTGGTTAGAATAATGCAAGGAATCACCTTTTAAAGCTACGAATATTATTTCCCTAACAATCTGTATATTTTTATAATTAAAGGAATAATAGGTTGTTGAATAAAGCAGCAAAGTTGATAAAAACAATATCCCTTATTAATTAAAAATAACAGAAGGAATGTCAATAGGAATACATTGAAGGGGCTGGAATATTTAATCCTTTTTATTGTGTCAATCATTATCTACACATTTGCAAAACGAAATAAAAACTGTGCTTGACTTTTACAACTAAATGACATTATTTCACAATTGGATACACATCTACAGGGTTGGACCAATGACCCTGGCGAAGAAGTCTGAAACGAAATGTCATCTTGCAGAATAGGTAGTTTTTAGTGTGCAAATAGTTCATTCCATGTTTGCTCGCTATGATCGCTGTTCGCTGACGTGTACAGCTTGTGCTAAGTTAACATCTTGCGGAAAAACCTACGTTATGCCATACTAAAATGTATAAAAAACCACAAAATGTCACTTTACAAGATACACGTGTTCCTAGATCCTTGAAAATATGAGTATGCCGCGCAAATCGGTACACCTGGCAACGCTGCTTCAATTGCATGTTTTGTCCAAAATTAGTAAATCTTCAAAATGACAGCAAAATTTATCTGATATGGTGCTACGAACAGGAAGATAGGACATAGCGTATCATTATTTGACACTTTGGCAGGTAAAACTGAATAAATAAAGGTGTATCTCAACTCCATTTACACCCCGCTAAAACACTGGAGCGGCCCATAAATGGCAGCAGCAGGTTAAAAGATGCAGCGGTAGATCGTCCATGTTTGTTTTGACGTGGAATAAATGAGGTTTGAATAAACTATACAAAGTGTACTAATTCTAGAATTTCTAATCTTGATATTTTTTATATTCTTCTGAATGTTCACCCAGCTTCCGATTGTTCATCTTGTTTCTCTCTTGAGGATCCGTGCCGACACAGGTCACTTTCAACGTGTGTTGATTCAACTTACCTTTTTGGTCATGCCTTCTTACAAGCTTATTAGGAGACGGTCTGTCCGTCACATTGGTCAAAATTGAAAATATACAATTTAGCTCATTAATATTTATTTCTCATTTTGTCTCACATTTATAAAAAGTCACATCAATTAAACCCTCCCCAAGTTTCCTTAGGCCCCTGAACTCTTCTACCTCTGGACGGTTCTGGTTGAGGTCGCCTAATTTGAATTGTAGCCTGGGCCTTTTCAATGTTGGTCTCCATCTGTCTAGGAGGACGTCTGTCAGCCCCGAATCCTCCCTGAGGCTGACGGAATGGTAGACCCCGACCTCCTTGGTCGGCAGGACACGTTCTGCATGACTGGAGCGCTACGGGAAGCCTTACAGGAGGAGGCATGGCATTTCTTTCTGAAGCTATAGCTTCTTTCACACCGACGTCCTCGATTTCAACCGCAGCTTCGCTTATCCATGCTGGACGTTTGACCTTGAGTTTCTTCTTCTTCTTTGGTTCTTCTTCTGGAGGTTGAATTCCCTGTAAAGGAACTTATAATTAAATATTCGTTAACAGGCTTTGCAAAGTTACTTCTATGCGGTAATTCCAACACAGGCTGAAGGCAAGGGTTGATTCTTTGGACTAGATTGTTTTTGATGATTTTCGATCAAATGCCTCGTTTCGGAAAAATAGCTTTGACTTAGGCCCGTATCGTCAGTCGTTCCTACAATTGTAGGGCGCCTTTATGGCATCCTTGATTGCCATAGTTTTATACTTTTCTACTTTTCCGTGTCAGCGCGAGGTTATGTCACAAATATCTATTTGCATTAAATTGTGCTTGCTTTTGAGTTATACCATGTTTTATCAGCCTGAAATTTCCTACAATTTAAAAAGAAAACATATCTTCACAATAGGAGAGCGCTGACGCTAACATGGGACAGGTGCAATCTAGAAATTTTGAAGGGGAGAAAGGAGTATGACAATCAAGGAGGCCATAAACGCGCCCTACAATTGTAGGAACGATTGACGATACGGGCCTTAAATACCATTTGAATGGCAGCATGTAATCCCAACAAAGTTTTGTCAGCATAATAACCAGCAGGGGTACGTATGTTGTGTTTTTCTATAAGATGTCATCTTGGACCTAGCTGTTGTTGCCTTCAGCTATTAATATTTGGCTCTGATGTAATGTAACGACTGCTTCAGAGATGGCATTATTGGAGGTGTAAGCTGTAAGTTGTATACGAGTGCTATAGCTAGAAAGAAACGGCAGTGCATAGGTGCATAGCGAGGACTTGTGTGCTAATAATCGTTGATGCTAATTCCCTTAGTTTCTTGTCTTAAATAAAATTGCTTTAAATGGAAGCTGCATTATGCAATTTTTCTGATTTCCAAAAATGAGAGAGATAAAAAAAGGAAATCATTCGTTGGTGACGGTGAGAAAATAGGCTACAGACTGGAATATTTTCGAAACGTGAAAAGGTTTATATTTAACATCTTTTTTCATTTCGAGTAATTTCAATTCCATAGAAATTTATTTTGCGATGTCAAGTAGAAAATCAAATCAGCGCCTAGATGTGAGGCACTGGGTAAATTGTGTGATACGTCACTCTTAATTGTTCTGTGATACACAACGCGGGCACGATGATGATTGCCCGTAATGCTTCTCAACGTTTTTGGAAACGCAAAAAAAAGGGGAAAGTTGTAATATATAAAATTGAACATAATCTATCTTTGGAAAGGGCAACCCAAATAACCCGTTTGGTACAATTAGTAGGTATATTTCACATAGCAAAATATCACTGATTTTATACACATGCAGTCCAATACACACAATCCCCATACGACCATCCAGACGTGGTCTTGCTGCACTACTGACTTTCTATCTGTGATATCTTCTCAGAGAATTACTGTTACAGTCTATCTCGGCATTCTGCAACCAACAAAACATATTGGGGAACTGATAACGGACTTGCACCATGGTCATTCTTCGTGTCGTGTCGTTGAGCCTTTCGTCCATAGATGACGGTTTTGGTGACGCTCATAGCGAGCAAACGCGGAATAAACGGTTTGCACACTAGAAACTATCTAATCAGCAAGTTGACATTCTTTCGGTTTCTTGACATTATATAGGTTTTTTACGTAATAACCCTGTCGGTGATCACCCACAAGATGGGGTCGACTGAAAAAATAAGCTCATTTAGGTTGCCGAATTAGCCCTAACGCTATTCGCTGGGTGCGCGATGACAGCACCGCCTAGGATGCCGGATAGAAATATCTGCGTTTGACAGGTGGAATATAATGGATATCAATAATAATAGGGAGTTACTGAACGTCAACTAAAGCCAGGCACTAATAATTCCTGGCCGTATTTGACATTTGAGCAGGCGCAGTAAAAAATAAGACTTGGAATTAATCAAGGTAGTGCCTGTCACTATTACAGATTGTTTTCTTATTTTTTTTTGTGCGAATAACCTTACTTTTTATAGTAGTTTTCGCAGTTAAAAGAAATTATATGCGGAAAGTAGTTTCTTTTTCCGTATTCTTGCTACTATTTTGTACTGTTCGCTGATTGTAAGTATAATTTGTGAAAATCATGGACCATTTAGCCGTAAAATTCAAACCAAAAAGACTGCCATTTACCTGCAAAGAGTAACAAAACACGAAGAAGTACAACAATACCAAAACTTAATAATTAATAACATTACTGGAATTAAATCAGTTTTGGCACACTTTTAACTAGATAAAAGTTTATTTTTATTTTATCACAATATTTTTAGGTTAGAAACGTTCTTATCCGTGCACGGAAATGCACCCAACACCGATACACCAATAACAATTCAATTACTCTAATGCTGAAACAATTTTAAGATCAGTCTCTACTTGTCATTATTAGTGTAAGGTCGGTGTTAATTGTGGGTGGCAGTATTTCAATAACTCCCTAACAACAGACGAAGAGGGAAAGGTCAAATGAACTGAAACTGTACCATATACCTCAGTACAGATGGCGCTATCTGCAGCTGGATACACTTCTCATTTTGTGCTCTGTACATGTTCTGTTGACAACAGTGACGTCTTTCGACCAATAGGAATAGAAAACCGAATTCTATCTTAGGCCCAAACAAGTTTATCTGAATCGCCCCGAGAAAACGCGTCTTTAGTTAAAACTAGGCTTCGTCGATAGTGATAAAAAACTTGTTTCAACTAGGAAAAACGAGTTGTTACTGAGAACAGGTGTTAACTGTAACATATGCATCTACAAGAAGTGCAGACGGACATTCGTTTCTGTCATTTTTTCGGCATAGTGAAGCGAGAAGGAAAATTTCATCTCACTGAAAATTAACCCGAATAACCTTCCCTATTTTATTATGACTTATCTGATATGACCTTCTTCTGGTACCTACCATCATGTTGTACTCCTTCTTGATCTCGGTCTCCGTCTCGACGAAGCTCTTGCTGACGGACTGGTTGAGCTGCTCCAGTTCATCTTTCTTGATCCGCTCTTCCTGCGTTAACTGCATCCTCTTGGCCTCCGCGCGTTCGGCCATATCCGTCATCTTTTGCTGTTCCACTCGTTGCAGTTCCTTCAGCTGGTCCAAGCGGTTCATTAGCCGCTTGTTCTCTTCATTCAACCTCTCGCCTTCGCTGCGTAGCCATTGCAGTCGATGATACGCTTGTTGGCGTTTCATCATTTCATTTCCTTCTTCGTCGCGAACTTCACCAATCACTGGGAAGGGCAGGATTCTGTCGGGAATGGGGAATGGTGAGATTCGAGTTACGTTTTGTCAAATGGATGAGGACCTTAATGAAGTACGAGTGATTTGTGAATGACAGCGGTTCCACTTACAGGCAGGGATACTACGAGTACATATCTTGAAAAGTGACATTATGTCGGTTTTTTGACATTACATAGGTTTTTGTGACATTATGCAGGTTTTTCTACAAGACGTTATCGTCGAACTAGTCGTTGTTCACTCGCTTCGTAGCTGGTACAAGTATCTGTTGCCTAAATATCATGATGAAGCAGCTGTCAATGTTGTGTTCCTGCGATACATATGCAAATTTGCTGAATTTAAAAGATGTGAGAGATAAAAACGAAAATCCTTGGTTATCAAAAATTTGTACAGTAATTTCATACAACGCGGGAGCGGTGATGATGCTTCACAAAGCTTTTGAAAACGTGAAAAACCCGGCGAAAATCATAATTTGCAACTTTGAACTTAACCTCTCTTCAGGAAGGACAACACGTAAATTACTTGACTGACACAGCTAATAGATACATATACTCCTTATGCAACATATTCAGTAATAATTTTCTCATATAGCAAATATCACAGATTTTATAGACATGCAGACCAATATATACATCAACCAATTTACTTTCTGTCACATTTTCTCAGAGACATACTCTACACACTCTCGGCATTCTGCAATCAACAAAGTATGCTAGCGGACTGACTTGCTGCGTGGTCGTTGAGCATGTCGTCGAGTCATTCCTCCATTCGTGACGCTATGGGTGATAGTTACAGAGCTCACAGCGAGCAAGAGTGGAATGAACTATATGTACACTAGCAGCTATCTAGTCAGCAAGCTGATATTTTGACGTTTTCTTGACATGATACTACGGCACCAGTTTTTTTTGTTCTGTTATTGACACTTGTCGATGACCAACTGGCCAGATCCTTATGTTCAGTATAATGCTATGCTTTAATAGAAAATAGAACATCCATTACTTAATATTACTACTGTATGTTATTTCTATTATAGTTACATAGAGTATGCGAACACATATTGCTCTTTTTTTTTAAGTTTTTTTTAACCAATACTTTATACTTATTTTTCCTTTTTTCTATTGTGTTTATAAGATTGTTTTTTTATTATGCATATCTACATATACAGGCCTACTTTCCGACAATGTTTGTATAACAGTTCGTAAACTTGCTGGTTCTCAGAACTGAGAATTGATTCTAAATTTAGATGCAAAGGAAGGTGATTCGCTAAAATTTTATACAATTCAGAATTTTCTTTGTTAGAAGTTGTACAATCTAATATTAGGTGTTGCAAGGTTCCTATATTTCCACAACTGCAAAGTGGATCATCTCCGTATCCAATTCTTGATTTATGATGGGGCGTCAGGGCATGACCACACCACACTGCTCACGGTTCTAATGTAAGGACGATCGGTAATTCCTTGAAACCAAGATGTGCTTCGAAGAGTCTCTTGCATACGTTTCAGGTAACTTCCTGTTGGACTGATTTTGTAATGGTTATTCCATTTATTCTTTAGTCGTTGTCTGATCAGAAAATGAGCGTCAGTAAAAGGAGTTTCCATGTCCGGTACTTAATCGCCTCTAGTTGTAGCTCTTTTTGGAAAATTATTTACCATCTCGTTTTCTTTTATACCTGAGTGGCCTTTGATCCAGACTATGTTTATAGTTTTGTCGATTCTATTCAGCTCCTGAATGCGCTTGAGGATGTTTGCAATTAGATGATTAAGATCTGCAGTGGGGTGACAATTCTCCAATTTTGTTACAGCACTTATACAGTCGGTAAAAATAACAAAATTGTTATTTCCATGGAATTGGAAACAGTATTCAATAGCTTGGTTGATCGCAACCAGTTCTGCTGTGTATACCGAACATTCAGGTGGCAACTTGAATTCTTGGTGATACGAATTGTTGCTGTGATAAAATGAACATCTCGATAAATTGTCTTTCTTCGAACCATCCGTGAAGATATTATATTCCCATCCTGTCCATCGTGTTCGAATATCATGCCGAAATTTGTAAGGTGTTGATAAATCTAGTTCGGAATATTTCGTGAAGATAACTTCGGCTGGAGAGTTATATGCAGAATATTCAGGTATGAAACAAGGGTTGATTTGATTAGAGTGTACCTTCTTGATGGTAGGAAGAAGCCACTCATAACTCTCTACGATCAGAGGAAGCCTTTTGTGTTGCCAGTATTTAGCTGTTAATCCATGAATAAACAATTGGTGGATCTCGTTAATGAATTCCCTGTTGACCAGTTTAACAAGGGGTTTATTGCTCAACATTTGTCGTCTCAATTGAAGAGGAGGTTCGATACATTCGACCTCCATGACATTGATGGGAGTGCTATTCAGATATCCGATACCTAGCCTAAGGCACTTCTTTTTGATCTGTTCCATTTTTTGAAGATGAATTCTAAATGCATTTCCATAAAGTATTGTTCCGTAGTCCAATATTGATCGAACTAAGGTCCTGTAAAAGGTTAAGCAGACTGCTGGATCTGCTCCCCATTTTCGATGTGAAAAGGACTTCGGAATGTTAAAAGCATTCTGACTTCTCTTTAAAATGTATGTAATATGTTCTTTCCAGTTAAGTTTTTTATCTAGCATAACTCTTAGATATTTGACAGAAGTTTTATAAGATATATTCTGCCCAGCCAGAGTGATGGTATTTGAAGGATTAAGGCGAGATCTGGTAAACGTACATACACAAGATTTTGAGTAGGCAATTGAATATCCATTATTCTCAAACCATTCTTGTGCAATGGAAGTTGCTGTTTCTAGAAGTTCCATAGATTGAGATGCATTTTTGTTCTGGGTACTAATGGCATAGTCTTACGTAAAAAACCTATAAAACGTCAAAAAAGCCTATAAAATGTCATTTTGCAGACTAGGTCCATCTATGGATGAACGGCTCAACTACACGTATTGTTGGTTGCATACGTTTGGTGAAGCCAAGTAGTTTATAGTTTTCATCTCTGAGAAGAAGGTTGGTTGAATAGCAAGATCGCATCTGGATGATTGTGTATAAAATCAGTGATATTTGCTGTGTGAGAAAATCATTACTGAATATGCTGCCAATGAAGTATATGTATTAGCTGTGCCCAACGGGTTATTTATATGTTGTCCTTTCTGCAGACAGGTTATCTTCAAAGTTATAAATTACGATTTTTTACGTTTTTTGTGTTTTCAAAAACTTTGTAATTACTGCTAGTATGTATATGACTTGTAATTCGAGAGTGCACTGTGAATATAATTATTTCTTATCTCTCTCATTTCTGAAATTCAGCAAATTTGCATATTTCCAGAGTGGATAACAAAAACTGGACGCGCAACGAATTCTTTGGTTTGAATCTCAAGTAAGACCATTTGAGACAAGAATTCGATGGAATTATCATCAACACAACATATTATTAGCACACAAATCCTTAATATACACCTATGCATTGCCATTAGCTCCAGTAATGCCATCTCTGAAGCAAGATTTTACATCACAGCAGAGCCAAACATTGATAACTGAAGCCTCATGACGTTTAGGCAACACGTACTACAAAACGAGTTCACAACGTGCCCATCAGCTGGTGCTGAGTTAACATCTTGTAGACAAACCTACATATGTCAGAAAAAACCAGTATAATGTAGCAAAACAAAATCGACATGACGTGTCCTTTCAAGATACGTAACACCCGTGCCGATCTTCAAGATTATTGTTTGTTTGTTGTTGTTAAAAGCATACGGTATACAAGATGAAATTGTTAAACTATATGCTTGGTCTTAACCTGTGCAGATACTGATCTTTCTCTCTTATGTATCTATCGAAATCGAACTCTGGCGCCATGTCGTAGATTTCATTAATAGCTGCCATCATTTTGTTTAGGTAAATGTCACGTTTTTCTTGATAAAATTCCATCATGTGAAGTTGCTCGTTCACCAGGACGTCACTAACATCTTCTGTCATAGTCTCGTAGACCTGTTGGATAGTTATATGAATTGATTATACTCGGGCAGCAAAATAAAAGCCATCGTACGCTACTGCTAACGCGGCGTGCCTTAGTACTTATTATCCAAGTCGGTGCTCGCGGATAAAGCCATCTTCAGAGCAGTGGCGTACGATGTATTATTGAATGGACCAAACTTCTTGGGCTGACAACCTGTACTCATCTGTGCAAAAATCCATCCAATATAGCCTTCATCAGAAAAAATTAATGTGATGCTGGTGGACAAGAGACGAAACGTCATATTGGGATTCTATTATATATACGAGTATACTATTGTGTAGAGGAGATAAAGTGGAAACGTAAATGTGTAATTTATTTTGAAATCCCACTATAAATAAAGTTAGGAAAAAACAAACGATTTTGGGAAAATTCGGTTATTACCGTCTCTCTCTGGAAGCACTTTGAATTTGAAATTTTCTAAGCGCCATTTTGTTAGTTAACTAAATACACCACTTTGCCCATATTTAGGCAACTTTTTTACCGTTTCTGATAGTCCAGTGGTGAGGGTCGAATTTGAAACACCCGATATATACAAATGCAACTCCGCTCGTGTACTGGATAGCCGGAAGCAATTTATATAAAGAACAACGCAGAAATAATCTGTAAGAATGTTCATCTTGTTCCATCGTAAGAGAAGTTTTAAAGCAAATGTAAGGGAAATCTATGAAACACTAGTAACATGAAAAAATTGCGATACACCCTCTTCCACCCCCCATACCCCAATTTTTTCCAACTATATTTTTCAAAAAATGATCAGGACCCTCTGAAACGTCGAAGTGTATTCCTATTTTTTAGTTTATGGAATTTTTCTCCATCGCCACTGGACCTATTTTCAAATAATACAAATTTTATTCTTATTCGGCATGAGTGGAAATTTAATCAAAATAATAATAATAATAATAATAATATGTCTTTATTTTTTAGATAAATTGTAACAAACAAAAAAAACTCATTTGATGAGGGAGGCGGCATTCAACATAGTTGCTCTTCCATGCAACCCCCGTAAATAATACAATACTAACAATTAGATGATAATGAGCGAATAATGATGGGTGTAATTAATACAACAAAAATAAAACTAACTATTGTGCTCTTTTCACATGGGATTTGACTCTATTTCGGAAGCTGCTAAGTGAGATCGAATCTTTTACTGCATCTGGCAATGAGTTATACATGGTAGATGCAACATAAGTAAATGAGTTTTTAAACTGTTCAGTACTATGTAACGGAACATCATAGAGATTACAAGAACGAGTTTCCCTATCATGAAGATCCGATCTCTTAACAAGTTTGGTATATAGGTAAAGTGGCAGCTGGGTTTTGTTAATATTGTAAGTTAAGCAAGCAAGATGTATCAAAAAGTGCTCATGCATGTTGAACCAGCCAGAGGCTCGAAATTCGTCACTGAAGTGGTCATATTTTTTCAAACCGTACGAAAATTTGATGCATGAGTTCTGAATTTTTTGAATAGAACGTTTGTCTCTAGTAGTGAGAGCAGGCCAGTATACAATATCAGCATATGACAAGGAAGACAATATCAACGAATCGCATAGATTCAGCCTGACTTCAGTAGAGAGAGCATTCTTGTGAAGATAAAAAGTCCTTAATTTAGCATAAGCTTTTTGTAAGAGATGCTTAACGTGGGGAACAAATTTTAGAGTATTATCCATATATAATCCCAGATTTTTACATTGGTTGCTTGCTTGCAATACAGTGTTCTTAATGCAGATTCTAAAATTCTGATTGTCAGTAACCTCACACGGTCTTGATCCAAAAATAAGCAATTCAGTTTTATTTTCATTTAATACGAGGCTGTGGGCTCTTACATATCTAGATAAGTACTCAACTTGACGTATACAGTGAAAACAACAAAGGTCCTAAAATACTACCCTGTGGCACACCTCTGGTAATACTACGAAATTGAGATATGTGCCCATTAAATTCTGTGCACTGAGATCTGCCTGACAGGTAGCTAATAAAGAAATCTACAGCCATTATGCTTAGTCCCAGAGATTTAAGTTTCAAACATAAGATTGAATGATCTATTGTATCAAAAGCTTTACTGAAATCGAGCAAAATCAAGCAACTATACAACTTATTGTCACATGCACATGCGAGCGGTATTTCTCAATCACTATGTCAAGGGCACTCGAGGGACAAATAAGCTTAGCAATCTAGACCAGATACGTGTCATATACGTTTTTATGGTCATTGGGTCCAAATCAGTGTCATTTCAAGACTATTCGAAGGGAAAATTGAAAAAAGAAAATGAGTAGAGGTTTCTGACCAGCTGCTATAAGGATCAATTTGAAAAAAAATCAGCAAAAACTGAGACTGTATTTTATCCGTCATTACTCTCCAATTGGAGCAAACACTGGACTCTTATTAAACAACTCTTTGAATAACATAAAGAAGTGAAAGAAAAATACCCTCTTTGGTATGATCGATATTCAAATAATAATTTTTTTTCAACACACAATGGTTGAGCTCTCTGAAGTTTCATACTCTGCCATGGTAAAGGTTGCGTGAGCAAGGTTTTGTTTCAGTGGCCAACTTTTTACTTAAGGCATTAACTTTGACATATTTAACGAAGTTCATTTATGTTCGTCACTTTGTTTTTTGTGTGGCACGACAAAATGGGACACTCGTTTGTCAATCATTGTCGAATCACGGGGTAGCGTTACACAAATCGTGTACTTAAAACAAATCAAATTTCATTATCCAACCCTTACTGTTTCGAAATACAGCCTGAATAAAGATGACATGGTCGTAACATTTCTATTTAGATCAGTCGTGATTCGCAATGGTCCTGTTCATTGGCCTCAAAGGTCTGCAGACCTCATACCACTAGACCTTTGTTTAAGGCTGTATGAATGAAAGATAGTCTTTAAAGTGGATCGGGATTATGCTCTAACTTTGAAACAAATGAAAATAAGGTATTAACATGTGATTTTTTACATTATTTTGCTATGTATACCTCTAGAGTTTGGTCCATTTCTGATGAATCACCTGTTCTATAATTTAGCAACTTTTTATTTGAGTTTAATTTGATGCATTTCCCGCTAGCTTCTTAAAGTACGAGGTAAAACCAAAACTAAAGTAATTCTAATTGGCTACAATTTTCACGCGAAGAGCAATACGTCTGTAGGAAAATTAACCACTAACCTTTCGAGCGAGTTTTTGAAAAGCATCTACGTCTTCTGCCAGGACAAGTCTCAACAAGGCCCCGTTATCGGCTGTGTATGGACTAATTAGATTGATGAACTCATGCACAGGTATTTTCTTAGTCCCGATCTCCCTTAGTATTTTTTTGATAGATTTTATATCCTCTCCCTCAGGCGCCTGCCTTCTAGCCATGTTTCGCTTAATCATGTCCCAGTTGATTGATTCCTTTGGCTTCTTGGGCAAGATGCTGAGACATTGAATGTTACGTTATTGTGGGTATACAGAGTATTCCGGAATAAGTGGTCAATCTCTCAGATGCATACTGAACCCAAAAAATAATGTAATACAGGCGCTTCGCCAAAGATACATGGCTCACAAGAGGCTAAGCTTGTCTCAAATAACTTTATACGGCACTCTATAATTTACCGGAAATTTGACAGCCCTGTAATAAGTTTGGGGTACAACATGATTGAACCGTTCATTTTCTTTAGGTGGTCAGGGAGGAATCAACCGCAACTCAATATTGATGATATTTTACATATTTTATAACAATGGCTAAAAAAATAAAACTCCTAGGGAGTCTGTTAATTTAACAGGAAACAAGTACTCTTGCCTGATTTCGATTAAGTCAGCCGTTTTTGAGATAAATAATGTGGTTTCGATATTGTTTGTATCAATGTACACTGTATCTGATCTCCAAAAACCTAACACTCGCCCATCTGTAACATGGGAAGTAATGCTTAGATTTCGATGAAATTTTCATACGAGATAACTACTTCGCCAAGAGCGAAAAAGCTTTATAGTTTTTGTAAAGAGGCAAAGTGGTGCATACCCCTACTGAGCGAGGGCCGTGGCAAATGCTTGTTCCGGAAGTTGTTGTATCCAGTATACAACTTCTTCCCGTCCAAGTGATTGTGCACGCGTTAAGGAATACCTCAGTACCGATTGCCGGGTGGCGGTACAAGTCCGCCAACGGGCCACTTTAGGTCTATTTAACATCACTAACACGTAAAAAGAAGGTGGTAGACAAGGGCCAGTCGACCGAGGCAGTACCACCCGCTAGCTTTTCCCAGGGTGTCTTATAAATGTCCGCATGTTTCCACACCTAAGCTATGCAGTCGGTTATCTACCAAAACAAAGAAATTAATGATGATGGATCCCTCGAGCACTAAAAACTCCGGACGTAAACTCACTCCACTCTCGGAATGTCCGGGTGGAGGGTGGGCTCGAGGGAACAACATCGAAGATAAAATTTGTTTTTCGAACATCTGCGGGATCAACAGCAACATTGATGCTGTTCATCACTACCTGCAATCCAATCGTCCCGCCGTGCTTTTCTTGGCGGAGACAAAAATCTCAGAGACTGCACCGATTAACCATCTCAACTTCCCAAACTACGAGGTGCACTCCAATCTGAGAAAGAACGGGGGAGTTGTGGCTTTTGTCCGCAGCAGTCTTTCCTGCTCCAGGGATCTTTCTTTGGAATTAGACCGGAAGGACATTCTGTGGCTTCGCCTCAACTCCAAAACATCACCCAAATTTATTTGCTGCCTTTATCGCTCTCCCTCGAACCATAACTGGGATGACCTACTCGAATACCTCGCCGTCCAGATCGACTTCCTGAACATCAATCACCCCGCTTCAGAGGTAGTTCTTCTCGGTGATTTCAATGCCCATAATGAGCTTTGGTTGGGCTCAAATAAGACCGATGCAGCAGGTCGTGCAGTCGAAGCGTTTGCTCTTACTCAAGGGCTGACCCAGCTGGTGACGAGCCCTACTTTTTTCCCCCGCGTCTCGTCACACGCCAGTAGCCTGCTAGATCTCTTTCTGACCACGCATCCTGCCCCTTACAGCACTGCTGTCCTGTCTCCCCTGGGTAATTCAGATCACGGTGTTGTGGAGGTTAGGTTTCGGTCAGAAGCCGCTGTGGCAGCAGAAACTCGCACAGGCCGCAAAACTTGGCATTACGGACATGCCGACTGGGAGGGGCTCAGAGACTTCTTCTCTAGCTTTCCTTGGAGAGATGTCTGTTTCACTGACGCAGATGCGTCGACTGTCTGTTCTTCAATATCCGAAATTATCCACGTCGGAATGGAGGAATACATCCCTCACACAGTGAAAGTTCCTAAACCAGGGTCCAACGGCTGGTTCAACAAATCGTGTGACCCACAGAACCTACTTACAAAACCCCACTGTAGAGAACAGACAAGCCGACGTCGAGTCCAGAAACAAATATAACGAAGCGGTTCGCAATGCCAAAAACCAGCATGATATAAAAGTTAGGCACAGGGTAATGTCGCAGCGCAATGGCAGTCGGTCTTTCTGGACGCTGGCCAAGCAGATTGAAAAGAACTTCTCACACAGTAGCCTTCCACCATTTACGTGTCAGGATGGAACTATTGTATTCGACTCAAAGGCCAAGGCGGAAGTGCTAGCCAAGATCTTTGCTGCCAACTCCACCATGGACGTCCCCACCAACGCCCAAGTGCCGTCAATTCAAAAGGTTAACCACACTATGCGGGAAGTAACATTCAGGCATAAGACCGTAAGACGAGTGCTCTTGTCGCTCGACATCAACAAAGCTTCTGGTCCGGACTTGATTCCTGCCATTGTACTGAAGAGATGTGCAGCGGAGCTTGCTCCAGTTCTTTCGCGTCTCTTCCAGATATCTTATGAATCCGGCACCTTCCCAGAAAACTGGAAATTTGCTCATGTACAGCCCATCCCAAAAAAAGGATCTAAAACCGACCCTTACAACTACAGGCCTATAGCTCTGCTTTCTGTTATAAGTAAAGTGATGGAGAGGTGCATAAATCGCGAGCTTCTGGACTACCTCGAACGTCACAGCTTGATTAGCGACAGGCAGTACGGTTTCCGGCACCAACGATCCACAGGGGACCTCCTAGCTTACGTCACGCAACTGTGGAGTAAACTCATCCAGTCTCATGGTGAGGCTCATGTCGTTGCTCTTGACATCACGAAAGCGTTCGATCAGCTGTGGCACGCTGCCCTCTTAAGCAAACTTCCATCCTACGGCCTCCCAGAAAAGCTTTGCAGATGGGTGGCTGACTTTATCTCTGCCCGCAAGATATCCGTCGTAATTGACGGATTCTCCTCTTCATCCCACAACGTCAACGCGGGTGTTCCCCAGGGATCGGTCTTGGCTCCAACACTGTTTCTCTTACATATCAACGACCTCCTTTCGTGCACGATCAACCCAATCCACAGCTTCGCTGATGACAGCACTCTGCATGCAGGGATTCAGAGTGACAAGCCGATCTCTGCCGCTGAGCTGGAAAAAAGAAGACTAGCGACGACTTCTTCTCTGACAAGAGACCTGGAGGCTATCACAGCTTGGGGACGCAACAATCTTGTACAGTTCAATGCTTCCAAAACACAGTACTGTACCTTGACGAACAAAAAGCGTCCCAGCGCTCATACAGTTTCGATGGACGGTCGAGTTCTACCAAAGAGCCATTCATTTCGGCTGGTCGGAGTCCAGATCACCGAGGACCTGATCTGGCACGAACACATCTCTTCAATAGCTGCAGCTGCTGGGAAAAAGCTAGGCTATTTGTTTAGGGCTAAGAAGTACTTTTCTCCGCATGACCTTCTCACTCTATACAAGGCCCAGATAAGGCCTAGCCTCGAGTATTGCTCACACATTTGGGGTGCTGCCGCCCCGACTACATTGTCCATGCTCGATGCTGTCCAGAGGAGGGCGGTCCGACTGATCGATTACTCTTCTCTAACAGACAGTCTCGGGACTCTTTCGCACCGGCGGGCTATCGGCGATCTAGCTCTTTTCTATCGCTACACCAACGGGCTTTGCTCCTCAGAGCTCTCTTCCATGATGCCGCCGCGCGATGCGCCTGCCAGACAGACCCGCCTGACTTCGGCATCCCATCCTAACCGTGTCAAACTTCGTACATCCAGAACTGGCCGATACGACCGCTCCTTTGTCCCGAGGGTGTCTAGATTGTGGAACAATCTACGGGAGGAAGCTTTTTCCAGATCTACTAACCTTAGGCAGTTCAAAAATCGTATTAACAAAATTTCTTTGGGATCATCATAGCAGCCGCGGTGTTCCGGCATTTAGGCTTCTGCCTGCGCGGCTGTTTCGATATAAAAAAAAAAAAAAAAAAAAGGTAAGTGGCGAAAAAAATAAATAAATAAAAACCGTACAAACTCTGCTTTTTGACGGTTCAGAGGTTCCTGATCATTTTCAAAAAAATATGTATGGAGTTACGGGTTGTAGGGGATAGGGAAGGGCATTTTTTTGGCGGTACTATATTAATTCGCCTCCAGCCCCGATAATTTTATGAACATATATATATATCAGTATCTATATATTTCAGATATCATAGGTTTCCCTTAAAACTTCTACAAGTGCGACTAGCGCACGGTCTCGACGACTACAACCCTCACGTGCAAGACTTTGTGCGTCTGATTGCATCGCCAGCGTTTTCAACGGGGACGGGTCAATAAGTCCGTGACTTTTTATATCAAACATAGGTTTGAATAAAAACATTTTATTTATCAACTCAGCTCTATACACAACGTTTCTTAAATTTTTTGTATCCTTTCCAAAAGATAAGATTTTTCGAGGTCCTCAAAATAGGTATTTGTTTGTGAAATGATGCAATCGTTTGAGTCAAATCTCTTTCCGCCAAGCCATTTCTTTAGGTTTGGGAACAAGAAACAGTCACTTGGGGCTAAATCCGGAGAATAAGGCGGATGAGGGAGCAACTTATAGTCCAATTCATGTAATTTTGTCATGGAAACTACACATGTGTGCACTCTTGACTTGGTGCAAAAGAACTTTTTTCTTGTCGAAATGTGTTTTTACCTCAAATCGTCGTTGAATCAGTCCAATCAGTTGGCATAATATTCGCTATTGATTGTTCTTCCTTTTAGAAGGTGATCGATGTGGATTATATCATCTGTCTTGCGGATAGCTTTATCATACCCAAATGATCATTGAGAATCGAAACCACTGAGCCATGTGATATGCCTATTTCTTCCACAAACTTCCACTTTTTCAGTCTTCGATCGGGCAACACCATATCGTGAATTTTTTCAAGTGTTTCGGGGGTAGTGTCTTTACCTGGGCGTCCAGAATGTTCGGCACCTCTCGTGGTTGTACTGCCACAATGAAAGTCAGAAAATCACTTGTGTACCATTAAAATCGATAATGCAGAGTTCCATAGTATTTATCAAGGTTAGCCTTGGTTTGAGTTATGTCCTGTTCTTTACAAAAAATAATGCTCGATGAGCAGATGAAATTCACTTCTGTCCATTTTCGTCTCACTCCACGAGGTCGTCTGCTATCAATAGGTTACAAATTATTTATCGCAGCTTGTTCATAATTTGACAGAAGTCCACTGACAGTTGCTTGTTAACAGGAACAGTATTGTTCTTCCACTTAAAAGGCGGCAAGTTAAAAAAGAGAGGGACTTATTATCGTAGCTGTGGTTCAGCACTGTTGCCAGAAGGTCGGAAGAAACTAGCGTTAGAGATATCAAATGGACTAATTGTATGGTCATGCGTGGCTCACTTGATCCATCTAATTTTTTATAGCTAGCTCAGAGGGACTAACTTGTGCCGAAATTAATCCTTTATGAACTGTTGCGTGAAATGTGCAGTGTCAACTATTTGATGCCATATTTTTTGGGTCGCTAATTGCGAATCTGGTGTAGAATTCTAGTACAAAAATTGAAAGAACATTTCTAAATCAAGGCCAATTTGTTCAATTGGTATTAAATATGAGGATTTTTTTTCAGCTTAAAGTACATATTTCCAAAAGTGAAATAGTTGAATTACTATGTAGGATTTAAAAAAATGCAACACTGCATCGGGGCTAATCCATCGCTAGCGATCTAATTATATTATGAGACCTCAATTGCGTGTTATGCTGTCAAAATCCCGTTGGATTATACGGTGTCTTTAAAATTTATTTGAGAAATATCGACGCTCATTTAGTGTCATTTGGTCATTTAGTGTCTCCGTAGAAAGTGAACCTTGTAGGAATCTTTTTTATCGGCACTTGTGGCATTTTTTTGTTTTTTGTATGCATACGATGAATGTTATCTTACCTTGTGACACCATATATATTTGGAACTATTAGTTTGTCTCTGACTCAGTCGATACATTGCACTATACAGGATGTAAAGTTAGTAGTGGATCAACGGAAGTCAGGTGATAGAGGGCTTCAAAACATATCAAATGAGCCCCTATATGTGTGGTCCGAAATTTTATAGTTCAGGAGATATTTGCAATATTGAGAAATTTCGGAAAAAACGGACAATGAACTTTCAATCGCAATTACAACTAAACCATTAGGTTTATGGCTGTGATTTTTCTTCTGAGATGAGCTAAATGGTACATCCTTTTTTCGAAATTTTACAAAATATTGAGGCCCTCTATCACCTGACTTCCGTTGATCCACTACGAACTCTACACCCTGTATAACCGTCCATACGTCTCGTTCTACATACCGTGCGAATCATTTACGGTTGAGATCGACCGAGTTTCAATGTGTACGAGAGAGAAGCGTGTAACACACATGCAAGAAAGACTAAGGAAGAGGACTCCGTGACCTTCCTCGTTGTCCTCGCCAGACAACGCGATGATTACCTGTGGGCGTACTCCTGCCGAACTCAACTGTGAAAGATTCGCACGGCTTAGGGCACGTATTTAAGAAAAGTGAACATGTGGACCATATAAACGTTTGATACAGTTGACCAACTTTCTATGTTTTGGCGTAATAACGGGTGGTGTTACCTGAATGGCGGTATGGTGTTATCCTTTTTCTCTCCTGGTCCACCGGCTGTACCACCTGTACCAAGAGCTCCACCACTTGCTACTCCACCTTTTTTTCCTCCTGTCGTGGATGACTTCCCACTGACAGAACCCTTCGCAGAGGCCTTGCCGGCCGAAGCCCGCGAAGCACTTGGTCTTGCAGACATATTAAATGATGGTACCACTGGAAGGATACAAAGAATTGACATATTAAAATAAGAAAAATTATTTAAATGTAAATGAGAAGAAAAAAGAAAATCCTCTCTGTGATGGCTTGATTTTTTTCCGTTCCGTTTTCTGGAGATATTGGCCGACAAAAATCTCAGAAAACATATTTTTTACCAGCACAGAGAGAATTTCCTGAATTTTAATGGATTACATGTGAGAGTAGATTAGCACCTTAACTGACAGTATTTACTTGTAACGCATTGTTTAAGAGGTCGAAGGGTCGAAGTTTAAAGTTTTTTTGGAAATATGTAGCAGGGAGAACGGTTAAAGGGATTAAAATGAACATACGAGCCCCTTCCCACTTCAGTTGGCTCACTTTAAGATTTGTACCAAAATATGCCTTTATAAACTAAACATGACGAAACTATTTACTTCTAAACATATATTATCAAAATATTCATTTTTAATATTTTAAACCTATAACACCCTGCTACATTTTTATTATTTGTGTTTGATAAGAAAAAAACTAAGATTTCAATAGTTGGGCCAACTGAAGTGGGAAGGGGCTCGTAGATAGATGGCCCCATCAGCAGATGTGTACGCTTCTTATTTCATGTTCGAGGAACGTTTTACTGTCATACATGCTTGGCAAGTTGATGCTTCAATACTTTGGAGGTGCGTAAAATTTAAAATTTTTCAATCTTCAGCGATGCGATACATGTAAGCAGTTAAGTAGCAATAAGGATGCAGTCATCAGAACTTTACAATACTAAATCCAAGAATATAATTCGATATAATCCAATAATGGGTAGCAGTGAGATAGGGAATCACAAACTTAACAATTTGGCCATAGAATCGAAGACTATGTTTGTGAGATTTTTCTGCATTTTGTGTCCATTTGACTTTTCCTCCCTGAAGTAATTATCCACAGATATTGATGAAATCACCCTTTGAATTTTTGCCTCATCTTTTGGAAATCCGTTTGGACCTGAAGTCAGTGCACACCATTCTTGTAAGGTCTTTTTTTACAATTAAAGTAAACATCTGGTGCCATTATTAGTTCCATTTATCGTAAGTTATGGTACAGCATATAAGAGCATATCAAGACTCCAGTGCTTTAAGAAGTTAGTGATGCATAACTGGAAAAATGTACGATGTATTTATATTGGGTTCAAAGTTCAAAGTTATTCCTTATTGAAGAGTCCCCTCCGCCTAAAGACAAGCAAAAAAAGGCTGAACTATACTTTAGCGCATATCGCAAATACTTCATTTCTTATTTTAGAATGAAAGATTAGGATGTATCTTGCACGAAAATATAATTTTTTCTTTAAGGAAGCCTTTGCTTGCTATTTTACATACCTTCAAAGTTGCATTTTCGGTGCTAATACTGTGGTATAGAATACTGCTTTATAAGCTGTTTTCTGCTTGTTTATAGAAAAGATTATTCAAAATTATATGAATATATTATACACTGTAAGTTACTGTGATACTGTTCATCGCAATAATGCAATTTTGCATGATTTCAATGATGAAAATAGTTCATTGTTAAGTAGTCATTTCTTTTATTTCAGATAATTATTCCCATCACTACACCACCGTCACTGTCATTTCTCCATCTAGTTGCGATGTGGCCAAATCATGAATAGTACTATACCTTAATTTGGTTTGTTAAATTCTTACTTATATACTAGCGCAAAAATGTGCAATCGGCACAGGATAGTCATGAAAAGGCGATTTGGACGTGTGGCAGGCAGGTTTTACTGTACTAAATCCACCTTGTGCCTTACGATAGCGTTAGCAAAAGAGACTTTTTTGAAGAATACTTGTGCCTTTCAACAAAAGTACTTCGGTTATTGTTTTTCCTATATTATAGTTATAATCTATTTACTTTTTGTATTTATGTACTTGGAGAATTATTTAAAGTGAAGCTGATTTTACAAAATGTGCCTAATTAAATGTGATATATATGAGAAATAACTGAAAAAGTAGCTGTTGCAACTCACTGAATAATGATAACATAACAAAGAACATTGCAAGTTTTTTGATGATTTGATGAAATGATCCTTGATCTTTATTTAACTATAATGTTGGACGATGATATGTTGGGTGGACCTGACGAGGTGCTCCAAACCGATGAATCGACGTTGGGTACTTTTATATGCAATGCCGTTGGTACATTTTCGACTGTTCAAAATTTCATCTAGTTTTCGGTAAATATTGGGACAACTTTTCATAAAACAAGCCATTTACAATAAGTTAAGACTTTTATTTTGCAAATCACCTCATTTCTAATTACGTATTTCTCTCAAAAAAGGTCCAACAATGGACATCATTTATCTTATGTGTCAAGAAATGAGCGTTATAAAGTGGCTATTGAGAATTGTTTGTACTTTCAAATATTTCTTATAAATGCAAAAACTTTCATCTCATTGAAAATAAGCGAAAAAACAGGTTAAGGAGTTTCAAGAAGACATTGAAAAATCACAAAACAACACCTTTACACAATTTACCAAGTAAATACCATCATTTACGTATGCATTTTGATCTGTTATTTAAGCTAATAAGCTAATGTGTAATAAAACGTCTGGTTTTGAACCTTTTTTTGCAAAAAACAACGATTTTTTACAGTTTCACATCTATTTTCCTTAGTACTATACAGTGTATAAAATGTAACTTTGAAGTTCTATAAAATAGCAAGCAGAGGGTTTCTTAAAGAAAACATTTTCCTAAAAGTTACATCCTAATCCTAAAATGAAGTATTTGCGACATGTGCTGAAAAAAAAGGATAAAAAATAGTCAAAATAATAGCTTGTATATTTGACTTTACTCGATAACTATGACAAAAGATGGAATCTATTCAAAAATCGCAAAAGTAGCTTATATGTAATAGCGGTATTTATTCCAGGAATTGAGGATATCACATATTGGTACATTACTGAACATCAAAGAGCTTATGTGCTTACCTTATTATAAACAAGGCACGATTCTTTTAGCTACACAGCACAGAGCTATTACCAAAACAGCAGTGGCGATACTAGCATAAAGACATACCATCTTTCTATCTAGCAGCACAGGGGCATGCAGCAGAGCACCTGGCAGCAGATGAGCAATATCATAAAAGGAATTGTAGTAATAATCACAAGCATTTTAAGAATCGGCCAAAAAGTGTCAAAATTGATGGATGACGTTGCACCGCCACCTTGAATGGACTTAGTTGGTGAGACGTCATCTTTTTGACCAGCACTACAGTCTTCTAGATATCAAGACATAGAAGAGGGAAAAGGGAAAGGGAAGGGAACATAGAGTTTTGCCCAAATCTCACAAAACCTCCACTATTGGTAAAAAATTTCATTTAGGTTACTGAAATGGTGTACGTTTGTTAGGTGGTTTGATAAACCTCTGGTTCGCAGAAGCGCAGCGCGTCGCTAGTCAAATCCCGCGAGTTATCCGCATTAACTCGTTGTATGAAAACATCACAATCCAAACCAAATTGGTAGAAAATTGATAATTACCGCCAGGCAGAGAATCGGCAGGCTCGCGTGTAGATGTAGAGACATAGACAGAGACAGAGCACAGTTATTAAAATGTAAATGGGGACAAGTTCGGTGTCTGTCGCAGGAATAAAACTCGATTGCGGTGTTTATGGGGGGATTTGCTAATAATCACTCTGCACGGATGATGCGTGTGTGCGGTGCGGACGTGCATTCTGTGTTAATTAACATCGTCGGTGTTGCCAAAGACCGGATTTTGATCAACTTGCTGGAAAACGGTAACGAAAAATCAATATTCGACATGGAGTGGATACCTAGTAACGCACACCCACCACTTTTTAAAATAACGAGAATTCACTATATTTTAAATAGCGCCAGGCGGAGTAGGTTCCACCCAACGAATTCAAATAGGTTAGGAGCCAAGCTTATATGTTTACAATGCAGTGTTAGACGCCAAAATTATGTAGTTTTGCATACTTGTCAATACATAGGCGTACATTTTTTTTTCTATGGAGAGGTATTTAAGTAAGTTAATCGTACTATGTGTACTCATGTCTAGCAGGGCAGAAATAAATAAAGTGAATATTCATTGACGGTATAGCACATGGACAGTTTTACTTAATCCATGATTTTGGAAGGTGAAAAATACACAAAATTCCCTTCATCAGACAGCAGATATGGCAGAATACCTTACTAGAATTATACTCGGTTTTTCTAAATAGTTGTGATCCGAACATACTATTCGCTAAAAGCAAATGCCTAGTTGAGCGCAATGTAAAAACTACTGCTATTATACAGGGCTATCCAAATTAAGTGTCCACCATTAGTAACTTTGTTATTAGTGAAAATACAAAGTTGTTTGAATTAGCAAACTAGTAGCATTTTTAACGCTGGTAAAAATGAGAAATAAAAAAAAAACAATTGAGAGTCGTTATTTTGATTTTTTTCAGTAAAATAACATTTTTTTAAATGGAAACCCCTGTATATTATATTTTTTTCTGTTAAAGCATCAAATTTTATACAAAAAAGCTTACAATAACTTTTCTCCTAGGTTACAAATTGTTGAAGTTATGGCCTCCAATCTGAAACAATTAAATTGTATCCACAAACTTTATTTTCAGAAAATATCGTTCATACGGTTGAATGCGAGCGGGATGTAATTCACTGTAGTATTCTCTTGCTCTCAAGGAGGATTTTCTGCACACTAAATAGCATTCTAACATATCACACTTTTCTTCATGGGAGAACATTTTTCTTTAAATTAATGACACAATAAAGCTTATAAACAAGTATTTACACTAATGTTTGACATTATTTGATTTTATCATTGTTTTCCAAAGCCTTCTAGTTGCGAGTATGTCCAGTTTAACAATTTGTCGCTTATCTTAATGCTGTCAAATCGCGAACGCCATGTTGTTTTCATAGCCGTCTTAATATTATAATACTGCAAATAATTAAAAATATTTATCGTTATTTTGACTTTATTTTTGACTTTAGCGGAAAAGTCATTATGAACTTTTTTGTTTAAAATTTGATGCTTTAACAGAAAAAAATATAATATACAGGGGTTTCCATTTAAAAAAATGTTATTTTACTGAAAAAAATCAAAATAACGACTCTCAATTGTTTTTTTTTATTTCTCATTTTTACCAGCGTTAAAAATGCTACTAGTTTGCTAATTCAAACAACTTTGTATTTTCACTAATAACAAAGTTACTAATGGTGGACACTTAATTTGGATAACCCTGTATAATTGTCACTATATTTATTCAGCAAAAAGGTCAGGAAGTAATTTAATTAATCTAAAATTCATACTTTTTTGGGGCCTACTGAGCTTGCCCGCTACAATCTCGTGGCAATCATATGAGAATGTAAAATCACCGTTTATAACGTGAAGACTCGAAGTGAAAGTTTCAGTCGCACATTTTAAATGTAAAAAAAAATTGTTTGTCTCAAATACTTTTCACTTTTCAATGTTATTGTTAGGTATACAATCCGCATAACAAACCTTGGATTCGGACTAGGCTCTCAAAGAAACAAGAAGTGGACTGTAATAAATCAGAATTACCTCACAACTGTCCGGGTGAAAGCCCAACACTTATCGATTGAGTTTTCAGATTAGTGCTTCCGGTATCACATACACCTATAACATAGTGTACACACCATCTTTTGCGTACACATAAGAAAACGATAAAGAGATCCACGTATTTCAAAAAATTTAAACGGATATCAGGTCCTACCAAATATGAACTACCTTTGCACTTAACAAAAAAGATAATTTTACCGTACTATTAACTTAAGGTTCTTTTTGAATAGACTATATTATTTAGAAACCAATAAATAAATCACACTGATCCATGAATACTGACATCGTTTTACCATTGCGAAAGTCTAAGGTGAATAGGATGACAATCACAAAACACTGTTTTAGAATCAAGGTGGAATTTTGGCTACTATGTGAATAGCCTAACTCCCCTGGAAAACTGCACCTGATCCATATCGCAGCTGCTACTCGTTCATGCACACCCACATGTGTTGGATAATATGTTCTCAATTACTCTCTAATACACACTATCTTCATTGAAGTTGTACCTTTAGGCTGCAACTCCGTTCTGTGTCGAAGATCAGCATTGATAATTTATTATAAATCACACAGCCATGACAAGCCAGTTGTCATACTGACAGCGACAAACATAAAGGTGGAAGAACCATACGTTGACGGGAAAATTTTCAAGGCGATGAGAACTAGAAAGCGTACGTTTTTGTGTATGTGTGAGGGAGATGTATGTGTGAGAGTAATTATTGTAGTTTGACAGTGAATCGCCAAAAACACGAATGTCTGAACCCTAATATTCATTTTGAAAAGAAACTTAATTGGTTTCCTTCGAAAGAGAATTGAAAAATGTCCAGTTGAAATATTTTAAAGCAAATCCTGTGTACTTTTCGAGAAGGGCAAAGCTTGATCCTAATTATGAGTTCTTTCACAAAGGCGATTACAAGTAAGCCATATGGAAACATTTTCCAACGGACTCACTTATAAAGGTATAAACCTTGTCCAATTTCAAGTATGAAATTTTCGATTTAGTGATGGCGGAGGTACGGACAACAAACGAAAAAGATACAAATTGCTCAAATGTTTTCTGGCATTTCATAGGCTCCTGATGATTTTCTAAAAATTTTTGTGCGCGTTGAAAATAGAGGGTCGAGGGTTGTGGGGGGTAAATACTGGTTGAAGTGGATGAAGGGTTGTAGGTGCTTTGGGGTTGAAGGGGGTAAAGGTTTGTAGGGTGTAAGTGGTTATTGAAGGTAGGAAATCATAGAGTGTAAGGGCGTTGTAGCGGGTAAGGGGCTGTAGGGGATGAGGGTTTGTAGGGGTATCGGGTTGTAGGGGGTAAGAGAAGTACAGAGTCAACCTACTTGACGGCATTCCTCCTGAAATTATGAACAATGAAAGTATTCAGTGAGGCTGTTATTTTTCATTACCTTCCGATATGGACTATAAAATAGGCTCGAGAATTTCTTGTAATTGACCAGTCTAAGTTAAACCATTTTGAAACCACACTTTGTACATCGCTTCACATCATAAATAACATTTTCCTTCACCGGCTGTACCTTCCGCACCCACCTCCCGTATCCGCGCAATACATCATCCGCGGTAACAGGATAAAATTCCGGTGGCCAGCTTTACGTACGCCTCGAAATACTACCGATGCATCATCGTCTGGCATGCCTCGGACTCCGGGAGTATGCAAAGTGACTTCTTGCCCGGAACGGGTTCGGGTGGCTGGTGCACGATTAACCCAGCGACAGCTTATCTTTCGGTTTACCGGTGATGCATTGCTTTGAGGATGAGCTATTTTATTGATATTACCTGTTTATTATAATTTTATCATGCACACTATTACATAGATGCAAATTCCATTTTTCTACAGCTGTAGCAAGTATTTTCTAATTATAGTTCAAGATCCAGACATTACTTTTCATGAGAGCAAAACGTGGCGCATTGGGAACCATTTATATATATACTTCTAACACCTGCGTACGAGGGATGTCTTTTAAGTTTTGCATATGGAAATAAAACAACACGGTAGGTAGTTTTAAATGACTTTATTGTTTTTCGAAGTATTCTCCACGAAGATTAATACACATCTGCACGCGCTCGCACCAATTTTCGAAGCACTTATTCCACTCGTTTGCTGGCAGATTCAAAACGACATTTTTTAATGCGTCAACTGCTTCTTCTGGTGACTGGAACCTTCGACCTCGCAGTCTGTTTTTAATTTTCGGGAAAGCAAAGAAATCGTTAGGACTTAGATCGGGACTATATGGAGGTTGGTCCAATAATTCCACGTTTTCTTCCGTTAAATACTGCCTTGTTTTTTTGGGCTGTGTACGAGGTTGCATTGTCTTGGTGGAGGATGATTCTTCTTTCGGGGTTGATTTTTCGAAGCTCGGTGATGACTTTTGGCAAGCAAATGGTGGTATACCAATCCGCAGTAACAGTTCTTTGTTCATTAAGAGGAATTGTTGCAATATGACCCGCTTTTGACACAAATGTCGCGACCATCTTTTTCGAAACACTTCGAGAACGGATTGCTATTACTTTTGTTGGCTTTTCTTCACCTTGGAACACCCAAACAGCCGACTGTGGTTCATTTTCTGGTTCATAACAGTAAATCCATGATTCATCACCACTAACAATGCTGCAGACATTTTATGAGTTTCCGCAATTGA